CACTTCTTTGCATTGATCTTGAAGTTAGCTTCCCTCAACTTCTCCAAGACCTGCCTGAGATGACCCTGATGCTCTTCGAGGGTCCTGCTAAACACTAGAATATCATCTAGATAAACTACAACAAACCTGTCTAACCACGGCCTAAACAAATCGTTCATACAACGCTGGAACGTAGCTGGCGCATTGGTTAGTCCAAAGGGCATCACTATAAGCTCATAATGCCCATACCTAGTCCGGAAGGCTGTTTTATACTGATCATCAGGATGTACCTCTATTTGATGATATCTGGACTTTAAATCTATCTTGGAGAAATACTTGGCCCCCTGCACTCGATCTAAAAGATCGTCTATCCTAAGCAGTGGCTCAACATTCTTCACTGTAATCGCATTCAGTCCCCGATAGTCTATACACATTCTCAACTCTCCCTCTTTCTTAGGAACAAAGAGGACAGGCGCTCCGAAAGGAGACGAACTGGGCCTAATCCAACCCTTCTCGAGGAGCTCGTCCAATTGCTTGCGAAGCTCCTCTAACTCCCGCGGGGACATCCTATACACCGCACCCTTAGGAGTTCTACTGCCAGGCTCTATCTCAATACGGTGCTGGATGGGCCGCGGCACCGTGCCTGTCAGCGACTCAGTCAAATCCTTAAACTCTTCTAGCAGCTTGGCAATCGCGGGGTCCATCGGCCTCTCCTCCGTAGGCTCAGTCACTGGCCTAACATAGGCAACAAAGACTTGTTCCTCCAATCCCTCCTTCTTCACCAGTCTGGTGAACGCGGGGGCACTAAGGCAGCAGTGCGCCAAGGAATTCTCTACACCTGACACATGGAACAGGCGGGCAGTCTTGGCCTCGCCTAACGAACTAGGGAGCCTACACTCGTGCTCCTTCAAATGGAGCGTGGCCCTGGCTGCCTCTCCCAAATCCATTCCCAGGACAATGTCAAATAGGAGGCTGTCCTCTACGAGGAGGAGAGTCAGGGAGTGGAGGACCTTCTCCACTTTCCCATCTTTCTCTAGGCGGAAATACGCCTGGACTCCCTCTACGTAATCCTCTACAATCATAGTACGATTATCCGTGAGGATACTAACTATGGGGTCCGTCAGTTTCTGGACTTTAAGTCCTAGCCTAAACTTCTGCAGCGCTTTCCTACTAATATAGCTGCGAGTGGCCCCTGAGTCTACTAGGGAGGTGTCTAGCGAAACTCTAACACAAGCAGTTTCGGGACAACTGTCTAGACACCGGCCTGCAACCTCTGCCGTAGGCACATGTGGTGTGGGAGTCTCCTGCCGGCTAGCGCTATATTCCCCACATGGCCTAATGGTAGGGGCAGTTGCTACCCCTACCTGCGGCTGCCTTTTGGCCCTTGGGCAGCCGTTCGGGTCTCTCTATACTTAGGACAATATTTGATGATATGGCCCGGGTCAYCGCAGAARATGCACTGGCCCCRGTCYAATCGTTGTTGCCATAAAGYCTGGTCCAGASCCAAAGATTCCCAAGGCCTACCCTGMGGTAGCCCTGGGTGCCATCCTCCTAYTCTATAGGGAGACCTRTTCCTAGGACGGTTTTGCGRGGGACCTTGACCCCTKYCTCCCGCTTGGCGSTTTCCTCCTCTGCCGCCAACCCCCTGATCGCCCTGAAACCGGCTCCCTGAGGCCCGGCC